CATAGGCAGTTGAAAAGGTATTTACGTAAAGGTGATTCGCTGGAACTGACGCTATGGAAAATATGGAAGTGGATGGACCACATAACCATACGTAAAATACGTCAGGGCCAGCGGATGCTTTGTAAATATTGCAATTACGATGTAAGTTTCAAGATAATTTACGAATTTTCCTAGGTGCATACTTCGCTGCAGTCTATATTACGGCGTCTCACACCCTTTGTTGCCAAGAAAGTTGTCTTAAACTTGCAAAGGCGCTTTTTCTTCTTTCATTCAATATCCTCCACCTCAGTTAATTACGCAGAAGGTAGTCACATCTTCTTCGTAAACAGGAATAAGGCTAAATGCATATGTTGGACATACTGAGCATATAGTTTGCCATCTGCGCATGTCGTTGAGGCTTTCTTGTATTCATGTCTAAACTGTGGTATGTTCCCTTTCCTTAAATGTTAATCTTAGATATTCTGACGTCAATATAACACTACGGACAACATTCCGCGTGCCGCTCGCTTAATGCCGCAACCAAACGTGTTTCGGAATGCCTATGAGCGTTTAAGATGTCTTGTCAGCTTGAACCAACACAAACTTGATACCGCACTGTGGGAGATAACGGAGTTCACCAGAAGGTTGGACAGTTTTTTTATTATAGCTAGAAACCACATAGTATTTTTGGTACAAGTATGGAATTTTCAGCATTTCATACCGGTAGCCCAAATTTCGCAGGCCGACCATAGATATCAGGTGTGCGTCGGCAGACCATGTGCATGGTCGGCGAGAGTGCTAACCGCTGCACAGTAAATGAACCGCAAACAACTTTAAGATTACGACGTGCCCCTGTTAATCGCTTATTTTTGTGATAATGCTTGTATTACCTTATTGTTTTCGTTTGTATTCATAATACAAACATGTATGTCTCAACTGAGTTACACTTCCTTTCCCTTTAAATGCCTACGAGTGAAAGTTTAAAGCATACTTTGGTTGATTGTTTCGTGATGAGAGCGCTTTGGAAGTCATTTAGAAACTAAACCGATCTGGGCCTTATTTACTACGTTTTATCAGCCGAAGATTACTGGTTCATAGCATATCCTGAGTAACGGTGACTAATACGATTTATCACTTATACCGTAGCAACGCTTTAAAAGACCAACCTTACAACAATTCTAAACAAAATCTAACCAACACGTCAATAATACCTTTTTACGGCAAATGAATACTTTTTCAATTTGAAATGAACCGAGTATGTACTGAAGTAACCCTGGTCCTTCTTAAAAAGGAGCACTGGATGCTGAACCTGGGCTAGGTTTGCAATAAGGCTGATAATCTACTTCTATAAATGCGTAGAAGAAGAGAAAGGTGCGCGAACTTTGAAAAGGAAGCGAATTTTATACGCGTTTGTTTAGTTTTGGCTTTTGTTGTGTTTTACGCTCCAAAAGTCTACAGATTAACTTTAAATCAGTTTATTCTGATCGAAGTTAGTTTACGTTTCAGTTTTGAGTCTATTAAATTATATAAAGCTGTGTTCTTATAACTTAATAGTTGTATGTATCCATTTTTGTGCACTCATTGGCTTTTTATCACTGATTTATAAAGGTTATATATATATATATATATATATATATATATATATATAAAGCATGCCGATCAAAAGGAACCGCTGCGGAAGGGTTATGTGCGAATTTCCAGTGGATGAGGGAATGCAGTGTGATAACTGCAAGAGATGGTTTCATAGCATGTGAACAAACCTAACTCCTGCAGCATACAAACCCTGCTACAAACCTCTGGCGAACTGGTTGTGCAATGACTGCTGTAGTACGACTAAATTTCGTATAACAGAAGCCATTGCCACTCTCAGTGGAGCTATAAAGCTCATGGACTGCAAGGGTCTTCCACCACAGTAGAAGACCGACTACTGCTCAGACACCGATGACCTGACTAGCGTCATCGACAAAACAGTACATATTCCTGATGCTTCTCTGTCAATGAGTGAGTGCCCTTCAGCACACAAGAGCACCCACCATATCCCAGAAACCCACGTTGCCCCTACGATACCAGATAAGCCCTCCAATGACAGTAACGGAAAGACTGGCACGAAGAAAAGGCATACCAGGGGTCGGAAACCTGGAACTGAAATCACCCAGGGACTGGAAGATCAAGCCTCATCCACACCGGTGGATAGCAGGCAGATAAAATCGACTACGATTAGCGACGAGGACGCCAATGAATGGCGTAATGTAGTCTCTCGCAAAAAGGCGAGATAAGGACAACACATCGGCTACACTGCCCACGAAGGACAAAAAACATTTACGCCACAGAGCAAGAAAGCCACGGGAAGCAAACCTGATCTCTCTGACAGGTCGCTCATTGTCCACAAAGTGGAAGAGTCACTGGCCTCCGATACCAAGGCCAGATTTGAGCATGACCTTAGCTTGGTCAAACCCCTTTTAGATAAGCTACTGCCAAAAACAGTATCAGGCATATCAAAACACAGCGTAAATGGAATTGGCCTGTACGTCTCCTCAAAGTCGCACTAAACTCCAAAGAAGAGAAGGATGCCATTCTAAGCAACTGTCAAATCCTTAAAGGATCAGGCATATGTCCGTGCCGACTTAAGCCTAGCAGACTATGTTAAAATACAGTCTGCGACCCTAAAATTAGGCGAACGACGTCGAAACGGCGAAAAAAACCTAAGATTAAGGGTTTTCGGGTTGCCAAAGTTCGCAGTTTGATGATCCCGAAACCTCTGTCGGTAGGCCGCGGAAGCACCAATGTTTCCGACCCTTTGGGACAGATCAAGGGATAAAAAGTTCAGTTACTTGGTCGTAAACACAAGTGTTGGAACCTGTTTGACACACTTGAAACCGCTGAGACCAGGAAAAATTATATAACACTGCTAGGAATAAGGCTACTGCAGAAATCCGCCAATCAAGGATGAAGTTTGAAGCACATCGGGCTCAAAATGCAGAGGTAAAACCTAAGAAAATTTTCTCGCACATGAAATCCAGGAATAAAACGTCCGATGGTATCCCAAACCTGACTGTTGACAATGACAATCGAAGAAGATCAAGAAAAAGCAGAAGCAATGGCAGACTACTTCTCCCAAGTTTTTACACAGCAGTCATCACTCCCAATAGGATCAGCTCTGGCTGCATCATAGGAACACGGGATAGATTCCGTTAACATCGACCAAGGCATTGTGCTCAACCGCCTAATGAAACTAGATGCAGGGAAATCAATTGGTCCTGAAAATCTTCATCCAAGGCTTCTCAAGGAGCTATCAACTCACATAGCCGGCCCTTTGACCACGATCTTCAAGCTCTCTCCTAAACGGAGTGTTACCGCGTGATTGGAAAGACGCCATAGTTACCCCCATCCACAAAGGAGGATCAAGACAAAGCCCTTCAAATTACAGGCCTATTAGTCTCACCAGCACTTTAGTCAAGACACTGGAAAAATTATCATGGCATATCTGGGAAACAACAAAATGTTATGCAGAGCACAGTACGGCTTCCGAAGAAACCTCTCATGCCTGTCCAATCTTCTCACTGAAAGAGGAAGCTGGGTCAAATCAAGGGACAACAGAAGACCCATTGACGTCGTCTTCAAAGACTTCAGCAAAGCCTTTGATAAAGTTCCTCACAAAAGACTACTCATGAAGCTGGAAAGTCTTGGTATCAAAGGCAGATTACTAAACTGGCTCAGGGAACTCCTCATAGACAGGAGACAGCAGTGCGTAGCGTAATGCCACAAGGCACGGTACGCGGACCTCTCCTATTTATCTTGTATATCAATGAGTTCTTCGCTCACCGATTCTCCTATGGTACTATACGCAGATGACTAAAATTTGGAGAGGGCTGAAGGGCAACAGTGATACGTCGACGTTGCAAGAGGACCCCAACAAATTGTCAGAGTGATCCATAGAATGGATGATCCCGATCAATGTAGCAAAATGTGCAACCATGCGCATCGGACAAGCAAGCATCAGCTCATACGAACTAGAGGGAATAACACTCCCATCAGTTCAGGCTCATTCGGATTTAGGTGTCATAGTCACGATTTAAAAACTACAGCACTGTCACGCGGTGGCTGCACGTAGCTTCAGGTCCTTATGGGCAATTTGCAGAGCCTCTACTAGAATCACCAGAGATATGTTCACCCTCCTTATATACCTCTCTGGTGAGGTGAAGACTGGAAAACCGTATTCAGGCAGCCAGTTCTTGTCTTAAAGGAGACTCACATTCTAGAAAGAGTTCAAAGTAGGCAACACGTATGGCTCTTGGCATGACTAACTTATCACACGAAGAAAGACTAGACCGTTTAAATCTCTTCCCCCTGTCATACAGTAGGCAGAGGAGATTTAATCACAATGTTTAAAATTTTAAATAATGACTACGGACCTGACCTATTCTCTCTTTTCCTTACCACCAGGTCGAGACACCTTAGAGGACATAGTAGGAGAGTTTAAAAGCCAAGAAGAAATCATGTTGGTGTTGAGTACTGGTTCTCACACCGAGTCATAAACTCTTGGAACCGACTCCCAGAAGAAGTGGTGTTCGCAACCTCAACTGCAGTTGAGTCATTCAAGAAGGGTTTGCATAACCACAGAAATTTACTAGTGAAGGATTAACATAGGCTCCAAGTCTTTTATCTGCAACCAATAAATCTGAATCTGCTAAATTAGTGCCAGTCATGCTGATAAACCAGCACACAGTTCCAGTTTGTGCAAGTAGTCAAACAACTGCAGAACAGTTACGGAGTTTACTTATAAAGGATATTACTATATTAGCATAGTATACGTGAATTAGCTCAATGATTGCAGGTTTACCATAATTCTTCACTACCCACATAATAACTGGGAACTTCAGACTAAAAATAAGCTTCATATTAGCATCCAGTGACAAAGACTGACCTAGACACCACAAAATAAGCAAAACGTCTGAAGAAACCTTTAAATTTCAATGGAAAACGAATTCACGAAAACACAACCGGTAGACACAGAAACCCACCATGACTTTGAAAGTTGCCATACCGCCTTTCTAGGCAACCATGACCTTGAGCTCAAGAAGGCAGACTACTCAATCGTCATTAAAGTTAACTCATTCATATTATTAAAACACACATTTTAATTTTGCCATGCATGATACAGCGGACACGAATGTTTGCAAATTCATTTTATTGTGACTGCGATTTTTCTACGATCGGTGTCTTTCACTGCGAAGACAATTTTTCACCGATCACTATGTATACCCACCCAAGTAATATTTTCACCACCACATCAGAGTGGCTTTATTGAATGAATTTATTCCGCATGCTCGAGGTCATTAGAACAGTTAGACACCTGAAGGTCACTTTCGTCCATTTTGATTGGCCATGTTGAACTGCCATTAACTAAACATCCGTTTACATATTGGCTTTTACGATTATCCTGCAGTTATTCACAACATATTTTGACGCACATTGTTCACAAATGTGGCGTTTAACCTCACCTTTGTTTCCGTTTCTGTTAAAATTAGTGATTTTATTAGTTTTGAAAGTTTTTACCACCAGGTCAGTGCCTTTTTTAGAGGTTGACGGTATCGACGTTCGCGAGTTGTACGGATTATACTAACGCAAGATCTTATACCAACAACTTCTATAGTGGTCGTTCCTCGAGTACCAAATGGTAAAGCAAAAGACCAGATTTTGTCGTCCAAAGTACGTATTATATTTTGGGACAAAATCGCGGGTAGAGGTGAATGCTTAGCTAGCTAGTAATCGTGCACGCACGTGACACGACGGAGTACCAAATGGCGGGGATGCTTGACCGTAAGCCTTCAGCTAAACAAGTCGACTTAAACAGTGATGGTCAGCATCCAATGTTGAGTGATGATTGTTGTGGTTAATAATTTTGGGGAATTATTTACCGCTACACATTCATTCCACTCTAATGGTTCAATACGCTGCTTTCATGAGGCTTTCGGTGTTTCAGTTGTTTTTCAGCGATTTATGGATTAGTACTGTGTAGATGTTGCTGAAATTATGCACATGAACATGTCTGAATTGCAGAAGCTGTTGTTTCCAGTTCATCTGTTGGTCGCCGGTTTCGTTGCTGGCTCATTCGGTTACTTAACACGTAGAAATCTGGAAAACTGATATCCTCTCACGTTCATGTTTACAGCATGCAAAAATCTACGAGTGAATTTGGTGAGGAGATCATGATCAGAGTTGACATTAGCAATGTTTTCGATGATCATATTAAACCTTAAGAATTTAGAACCTGGGTTGAAGTTGGAAAAGCTTTGAAGCTTTTCGAGAAGGTGAATATACCATCAGTGTGTCTGTTATCAGTTTAAAAATCAGGTATATATTGTGAGGTAATCTAAATCAAACAACCTTGAGCCACATGACAAGTGTGAATCTGTTGTGCTTGTGTGTACTTTTAGAAATAAAATGAAACTGGAACCCCTGAAGGGTAAGTATTACGTTTGCTTATAAATGCCTAATGTATTAGATCCAAATACATGAACTAGGGCTGCCAGTAGTAGTGCCAGTGTTAACAGCCATTCGATATGTTTGAAAACTATTTAAAAACCGGACAATATATGGCCATCTGGTGAATGTACGAACTATCCTAGTTAAAGGTAAGACTTTAATTAGCAAGAATAACGTTTCGGGTTGTGGTCTACGATCGGTAGTTTTCTCGAAGTTGTGACTTCTCCGTAGCTATAAATACGGATGTCGATGATTTATAAGAAAACTTTGAATAAATTTTCCTTGAACCAGTGGTCTTCTTTTTCTTGGAGAAACATCTGTTGATACGACTAAACGATTAGGTAGCAAAGTAGAATGTTCTGTGACTGAGAATCCTAGTCGTTGTGTTTCGGACTAATTTTGCGCATCTGACTGTCATTACCCGATGGATATAGCTTTTTCCCCGTGGTGCATTATGATATCTAGAAATCATAAACACACTGTCTTTGGTAAATTTGTTTTTACTCTTTAATTGACTGCTAATAATGAGTCATTTGAAGTGATGGGATAAATAACTCTAAACGCATTTGTGGGGACTAGGGTGAATTTCCTTTTTTTGAGTAGCAGACGATCTTTTTAACAAGAAAGTTCTCAGAATTTCCACTTTTTGTAGTTCAAAGATAACGTTAAGTTGCTCACTAAGGTGATAGCTATAGGGGATTACTTTCAGCGGAAAACATTTTAATGTAGCTGCGCAGCTTTAGGTAATGCGTCACAGAAGTAAGTAATTGTGTCTAGATATATTAAACTTTGTATGACTGGTCAAATCGTAGTTCTTACATACTAGTTAGTCTTTTAAATAATGAATGTATGGTGCAAGCGTTTCCTTTGATTTGCATACCTAAGTCATAAGCATTACGCCTACATGTGGCGTACATAGGCTGTGTAATGGTTTCTGTGAAACACGCTACTAGCATTATCAAAACAAGAACAGGTCAAGCAGGAAAAGGTGGTGTCAATAAAGTCTAATAATAATAAGCATCCACTTAAATTCCAAAAACAGTACTAATGATATAGAATGGAATTCTCAGAATTTGTCACAATTTGCATATGAATTACTCAAGGTATAAATTAACCACAGGAATTTGTCCACAGTTGCGGTATTAAGTCGAAAGTATTCGAGAAATTATAATAAATGTAAGAATAATAACAGTAAGGCTTGATGGCATGAAGATGTGGAGAATGGTTTATTCACTAATGCAAAGGAACTTAGTTAGTTCGTCTCTGACACTATTTCCATCGCATAAAATACGTGCCAAATATGGCATCGTGGATGTTTTATACTAAGGCGTGCACAGATACAATCTTTTGAAATGACCTCTTGTTTTGCCTGAGGAGACACAAGTTGAAAGCTGCGGGTAAAGTGAATGCTCACAGTCTGCCAAAATCAAGAGCCCATTGTCAATGACGACTGCAACGATATGGCCCAAACGGAGACCACTTGCCCTACTGACTGACAGTCTTCAGAGTTCTACGAAGTACGACATAGTCTCTTTCAAGCAACCCAGCATCCTTAATGAAATCCACTGTCACCATAACAAGACGCTGTACAGCATCTTATACAAGCACTGTCAACGATCTTAAATGGTTTTTATATAGCTTTCTACGCGTTTATCAACTTACTCGTACGGAGCAACCATGCCGTGACAAATGGCGGGCTATGGGTGACTTGAGTGCAGTAAAACAAATCTGCTTGACAATGACCAATATTAATCTGCATTCAGTTGAATTCACATCTGGTATTACTTGCAAAAAATGATGTCAAAATCATAAAAATTATTCACTCATTTCAAATTAATACACAATTTGAACATAAAACAAGATACGATGCCGCACACAACAAAGTTATATGGAGGAATTGACTTCAAGCTTTATTTTTTTCCCAAATGTTTGTAATTTATCCGACACGTACTTGGGTTTTTTTGTTAATGCGAAGACAATATTTCTATATTTCTTTATGTGCTCCATTGAACGACTAACTATCAGAATGTGCTCACTAACTGATGTTAGAGAGGACAGCAACCATGTAATTTCACTATAAATCAAATTCATGTAATTTAAATAATACTTATCCATGCCTGTACAACTGGTGTGTCCTACATTGACAGGAAAATATATTATTATAATAATGGTAAACAGTACAGAAGAATAGGTAAGATGCACGAGTTGACAATTTGTAAGAGGAGGTTTTGAGTTATGTCTGAGTGCCTCAACTTCTCAATGCGAAAATTCAGACGGAGTATTCCTTTAGAAATCTCTGAGACCCGGGAAGACCAGGATTGGTGGGAAAAAAGAATTAATACACGATTATTAACGTCAGGCTTGATTTCTATATCACTATCATCAATTATACAACGGTAATGGAAATTAACAGCTTCATTTAACTGTCTCTTACATCTGTAGCGGTAAATAATTCCCCCAAATTATTAACCACAACAATCATCACTCAACATTGGATGCTGACCATCACTGTTTAAGTCGACTTGTTTAGCTGAAGGCTTACGGTCAAGCATCCCCGCCATTTGGTACTCCGTCGTGTCACGTGCGTGCACGATTACTAGCTAGCTAAGCATTCACCTCTACCCGCGATTTTGTCCCGAAATATAATACGTACTTTGGACGACAAAATCTGGTCTTTTGCTTTACCATTTGGTACTCGAGGAACGACCACTATAGAAGTTGTTGGTATAAGATCTTGCGTTAGTATAACCCGCACAACTCGCGAACGTCCATACCGTCAACCTCTAAACTGGTCAGCCCGACCTGCAACCAACTTAACTGGTGAGCCCAACCTCGAACTTCATCTTCAATTCACACGCAGATAAACCCGGTGAGTTCGTTCCTTTTTGTGTTTATTCTTGTACTATATTGTTATCGGCATACTTTTCTTCATGATTGATCCTAGCCCCAAGGTTATTCAGATTCGCTCGACCGCCAAAACAATCCAGCTAGTACCATATTGGCCCGATAATGCTGAAACGTGGTTTCAGATTGCTGAGTCTGATTTTTGTGAACATGGCATAACTGATCAACGTTCACAGTTCCTTGCAGTTGTTCACGCCCTACCGCGGGAATTCAGCAGGTGCGTAACTCTGCAGATGTCGGTAAGTAACTCGTACGAGTTGCTAAAAGCATCCATACTCAAGAGAAACGTTCTCACGGATCGACAACGTCTGGATGAGTTATTTCGTAACATCGAGTTAGGAGATCAGTCAGCCGTAAGCATGCTGCCAAGAATGAAAGAGATTTTAGGGAGTGTAGGTATCGAACGTTCGCGAGTTGTACGGATTATACTAACGCAAGATCTTATACCAACAACCACTATAGTGTTCGTTCTTCGAGTACCAAATGGTAAAGCAAAAGACCAGATTTTGTCGTCCAAATACGATATATATTTTGGGACCAAATCGCGGGTAGGAATGAATGCTTAGCTAGCTAGTAATCGTGCACGCACGTGACACGACGAAGCACCAAATGGCGGGGATGCTTGACCGTAAGCCTTCAGCTAAACAAGTCGACTTAAACAGTGATGGTCAGCATCCAATGTTGAGTGATGATTGCT